TTACTGGGTCAAAAAAATCACCCTTTATCTTCCTGTTGTGGGAAAGCAACATAAACTAGCACTGTCACATGAAGTGATTGATTCTTTGTATACATAATGTAATAGTCTAGCCGTTCTTTATTAAGGCTAACACTGCACAGGCTAACCAGCTAAAATTTTTTATGTCATAATTCACGTACCTGCTTTTAATTAAGAAATTTCCTTACGCTCTCATGCACTGGTATGTGACTCAGGGATTCAGCCTTGTGATGCTACCATTAATTTGGTAGACTTTCTACACACTGACTCATTCTGTATCTTGCTCACTTCTCCAGGGCTGAGTGGGCCAAGCAGTATTTCCAAGTCTGTCAGCTGGCATGTTCTTAAGGCACAGGATGATTGGTTTCTGAAACAAACACATTAGTTGCATGCTTTTATCTTGCCCCAATTTCACAGCGTATTTTTCCAAGCATAACTTACCTTACTTGCCAAGAGTACAAGCACAACTGTCCTGGTAAGATGGTCAGCTATTATCTAGACAATGTATTTTTCTAACATTTCCTTCTGTAGAAGGCCTTTTGAAAAGACAGAAATTTCAAGCTGTCTCAAATCCCTACTTAGCATTGGACAGAACAGTTTGTTTTCTAGACATCTTAACAAAAAATATAAAAATATAAAAAAAGGGCAGCATCACTGGTAAGGATCTTCAATGCAGGAAATGAAAATATTCAGATAATTTCTGAACCTAATGCTGCAAGCAACACCAAACCAAGCACATGAATACACTATTTCTTTCACTAAAAAGAAAGCTCATTTGTGCATTTCTAACAATGTGAAAGCTTTCACTTCCTCAATGAAATGCGCTTTTGTAGGAAACATTGTCCAGGTCACAATGGGTTACCACATCTTTTGAGTGTAATTCCTTTTCTAAAGGAAATTTTTTTTTTTTAAATTCAGCCACCTACTGGAAAATGAATCAAATGTACAGTTAGTGCCATAGGAGGCTAATATGTGTAACAAACATTCCATTTAAATTTCCTTACATGGTCATTCAACAAAAGCCATTAGAATTTAACATAAAAAGTATTACCTCCGTAAATACCGCAAGACATAACTAGACCATTACATATACTTTTTATGTATAAAAATCCAGGCACATATAAAAAGAGTTCCAGGAAGTTAGCTGGTAAGTTCATGATTCATCAGGAGTAGTCAGCATAGATTCACCAAGAGGAAGTCATCCTTGAGCAAATTCCATGGTGAAATGACTGGCCAGTATGAGTCTCTCCAGATGAGGAGAGAGCAGTGGACGTTGCCTGCCTAGACTTCAGCAAGGCCTTTGGCGCTGTCTCCTGGAAGATCCTCATAGACAAGCGGTTGATGTACGGGCTGGCTTAGGAGACAGTGAGGTGGACTGAAAACTGGCTGAATGGCCAGGCCTGGGCCGCAGCAGTGAACAGTGGAACACAGTCTAGTTAGAGGTCAGTAACAAGCAGCGTACCCCACGGGTCAATACTGGGTCCAATCCTGTTCCACATCTCCATTAACGATCTGGATATGATGGGGCAGAGCCTACCTGCAGCATGGCTGCAGATGACACAAAGCTGGGAAGAGTGGCTGATACACCAGGGGATCATACCGGCATCCATAGCAACCTCTGCAGGCTGGAGAAATGACAGGAACCTCATGAAGTTCAAAAAGAAGTACAAAGCTCTGCACCTGTAGAGGAACAATCCCATATACTGATATATGCTGGGGCCCCAGCTGGAAAACACCTTTGCAGAAAAGCACCTGGGGTCCTGGTGGACACCAAGTTCAACATGAGCCAGCAGCGTGCCCTTGCCACAATGAAGGCTAATTAATGGTACCATGGGCTGCATTAGGCAAAGTATCACCAGCAGGCTGATGGAGGTGATCCTTCCCTTCTACTAAGCACAGGAGTACTGTGTCCAGTTCTGGGCTTCTCAGTACATGAGACATAGGCATACCTGAAAGTCCAAAGGGCCCCAAAGATGATTAATGGACTGGAGCATCTCTCCTATGAGGAAAGGCTGAGGTAGCTGGGACTGCTCAGCCCAGAGAAGAAGAGGCGCAGGGGGGATCTTCTCACCATACGCAACTATCTGAAGGGACGGTGCAAAGTAGATGGAGCCAGGCTCTTGTCTGTGGTGCCCAGTGACAGGACACCAGGGAAAGGGCACAAACTGAAACACAGGAGGTTTCATCTGAACATAAGGAAATACTTTTTTTACTATGAGGATGACTGAGCACTGGAACAGGTTGCCCAGAGAGGTGGAATCCCCTTCCTTGGAGATACTCAAAAGCCATCTAGACATGGTCCTGGCCAGCCAGGTCTAGGTGGACCTGCTTGAGCAGGGAGGTTGGACAACATGACCTCCAGAGGTCCCTTCTGACCTCAACTATTCTCCGATTCTGTGAAGAAATAAAAATACACAAAGTTTTGAAAAAAGGCAAAGTTTATTTATTTATTTTAAATATAAAAAGGTCATGAACTGCATAGAAATATGAATTCAGCCATCTTAAAATGTTACTCATCACTCATTTACACTTGGTAATTCCCAGTAATATGGCAGGAAGCAAGACGGGCTAACAATTGTCTACAACGTATGTATTTACATTCAGTTGAAGTTATGCATGCACAATATTTTAAAATCAAATACACTGATCCAAACAAAATCTGATTCAAGGTATAATATAAGTTGACATAAAGTACATACAAATAAAGTCTTCAAAACTTAAATTCCTTGGATAAGACCAATTTTAATTTATTTAAATTGTAAAGATAAGTTAGCTCCAAAAGTAGTAAGAAATGTAAACATCAGATACCATGATAAAAATCTTATGGAATAACAACTTCATCATGAAGTGCTGGCATATGCTTTCAGCTTTATTTTCCAGATGTTAAAAATAGAATACTAACGTACGAAGACTTTGACAGGCTTCCCAGTTGCAATTTCAGTTCAGTAATATTTTTGCAGAATTTTATAATTTAACGATTTTATAAGGAATCTTTTCTACCTTTATCTGTCACAGCTTTTTGATATTTTCTTCTGTATCTTAAGTGAACTTCAACTTCTGAGTATGTATAAAATAGTTTGTATTTTTAATTTACCTGGTTCAAATTAGACTCCATGCTGGTGGAAAAAACAAATGATTAGATAAGACTCTGACTGGGAAAGGCCAAGGACTTTGAAAAGTAAGGGTATAAGCTACTTGAACACAATCCAACAACTGCCTCCAGCAAAGTAATTTTATAATTATATGTATTATCAGTATCACTGAAAAAAGTTACATGAGAATACATAGAGGACACTCAGTGTGGTTCATTCATACCTAGGCATCCGAGCTTCATCTATGCTGAATATATCTGCTACTTCATTTCACATGAGATTAAGTCTTGGAAAACTTTACTTCTGACAAATGTAAGCTGAAAGATACTCTTACATGCCTTACACCTGAGTTGACTTCTCACTTGTCAACATGAGTGTCACCCAAAATAAAGACAACAGTCCTGAACTCTCCAATGCATTATGGTGATACCTTATATGGAAATTTATTTGCAAAAAAACCTGTTCCTTCCTTATGCCAAGAAAGAAAAAATACCACCTTTTACCACTCATTAATGTTCACATCTCAATCATACGTTGTTCAAAACCTCAATCTAACTATCAACAAGTCCACAGACACACCTGAAAAAGATTATCAGATTGTGATATTTTATTATACCAAACCAAACCAAATCCAAATCAGAGACAATTAAGTCTAAGCTTTGAGGAATGGAAAATGCCAAAACTATTTTAAAGTGCCATTTACTTTCAAAATATTTATAAGAGTTTTAATATATTCCATACACAAAAAGACTTCCAGTCTCAGTGTTACAATTAGGATTTTTATCTTGTCAGTATTAGTTTCAGGCTGTTAAGGCATGATTGGCATTTGCTCCAAGTCAAATTTTGACATAGGCATAATTTCCTCAGAGCCTAGGAACAGGAAGTGGAAGGGACAGAACTTAAAAAAATAACAAACCAAATTTAAAGGCTTAGAACAACTATTAGGTAGTTTGTCTTTAAATACTAACACACTGCAGTCCATTTCTCAGAGCGGGCATGAAGCTAAGTTATTACGGATAACTACTTTACAGAAAGATGCACTGCACTTCTACATTAGAGGGGCATAATGAAAAGCTTTTAATTGCAGCTTCACTGGCAAAAATGGTTATTTTCAGTTTATTCAGTTATTACTTTTAACTCTAAAGAGGCTTTCTGTTTTGGGGTTTTTTTTGTTGGTTTTTGTTGTTTTTTCAAGATGAGGAATACGTCAATACAGGCAGATGATACTATTTCAGAGGTTTTATGAAAGCAAACAAGGGTATCAAATATTCACATCAGCATGGGACCTTCATCCTCTTCAAATATAACTTACTTACTGATATGAAGCAAAGGACCACTAACACAAGGACTGACAACCTACCCATTTTCTATTCAAGCATTCCAGAGATCCAACACAGGAAAAGCACAGAGTATGCATTATAATCCCCAGGTGGACCAGATCTATAAGGCAGAAAAATTTCCTTAATGACTAACAATCCTAGAGAGAAAGCAGTTTTCCAAATGGCCCTAACAGATGTATCATATTCCCAAAACATACCACCTTTAGCTTCCATTGAACACGATGAGAATGGTCACAAATAAGCCCAGTAAGACAGCTAGATTCAGTTTCCCTGCTTAGACCAATTTCTTATTAGGGCCAGTCATAAAAGTGTGCATGTATTCAACCATTGTTTGGCAAAGTCTGAGTTTAAACAAACTCATTTTCAGGTTTTAGTTTGTTCCCTCTGGCATCATTTTTGGACTAAAACTTGAAAAGTGCAAAAATATTTAATTACATCTTCTTAAAAAAAATAATCCACTTTATTGGTGCAACGACCCCAATTTCCCAGGAGTTAAATCCATTGCCAGCAATGGATAGAAAAGGAAGCACCAGCATAGAAGAATCAAAGTGCATTTCCAGTATGCCAATGTTGCATGAATTGGCAAGCCATAATCTTATATTCGCCACTGGAATAGATTATCCTAAATTCATGTTTTAAGAGTCTATATTACGCATTAACATACGAAGTCTGTCATGAAGTCTTGGGGATACTGCAATGAATCATCAAAACGGAAACGTTTGGAGACTGTACTGCTGTCCTCTGGAATGTTTTCTTTGTCTTCCTTGTTGCCACAGGTACCATTACAACTGGATTTTGTATTTCGCTCTTCTGAGCATTTTGTTGTGTGTCCTGGCATCAGAGAAGAGCAACAAGTTTCTTCAGGGCTATACAAGAGTATGAACTCCCCTTGCTGCAACCACAAATGAGAAAGACAGGCCTCTGCTGTGGGTCTTTCCCTTTGAAAGAGAAAAGGGTAAAGTTGCTTAAGTTAATTTCAGAAATACTAAAAAGGTAATTAAAGTAGCTCTGACATGCTGAGAAATCGTAAGCAGAATTGACACTAAAGAGTTAGTATTGCTGTTTTTCTACCACAACCACTGGTGCTAATACATTAGACCCTATTATAGTTAAGGGTTAAGTATTGGCAACATGCATCTAAATTTTAGTTGACAGTCTCCCCTACTGCTGAGTGTCAGAACTGGTAAGCTTTTCATCAGAACAAGAAACAGGTATTTCTCAGCCAGTATTCATAGTCCCTTGGAATGTTTTCAACATTGTGTATATACATATGTGCACATGCTTATGCTTTTAAAGTCCTGTTTTATACACACCATTGTAAACAGGGAGGCTAATGAATATTCATTCATTAGGTTTTCAAGGAGGGTCAAATAACATGATGTCACCAACTCTGACATTTTGCAGTATTTTACTCTTGCAATTTATCATAAACTGGTGTAAACCCTTCCAAGTAGTAGTTGTCACCAAACAAAATACAGACTTACAAAATTGTTCCTTTGCATACCTAGGATAGTGCAACTACAGTTTTCATCATGTTCTGCATTGTTAAGTTCCACAGAACTTGTTGGAAATGCAATAGAGCCCACGACTTGTTTTTAATTCTACCAGAACATCTGAATCTTTTTTGGTCAGAGAACTGTAACTTTACAGAGTTGACCATCTGAGGACAGATTTTTCCTCTTAAGATTCAAGAAGGTATAGTCATCAAGAATTGGAATTAAAAAAAAAAACAAACCCACGGTTACTGAGGATACAATGAAAACTCCATGAGATGACCAGAAGCAAGAAAGCAAATAGAGTAGTAACTGTGACAGAATGTCAAACATCCCACAGGTCCACACTAACATTTATCAAAGCAGGCTCTTCATACTTACTTCCCCCATGATACTATGGGTTTTGTGAGTTATTTCAGATATTGACAAACCCTCTGTGTGAGATGCCAAAATAGAAAGGACTGTTCATTTTTGATCCAGTCCAGACATGAGTTTGTATGAAGTCCTTATTTCATCGAAGTAGGTACTTCATGGATATCATCTCCCATCGTCCCCTCCTATCAAAGAGCCTCTTTCGCAACCAAACAGGGTCACTTCTGTTTACTGCAGGCTGTCTGCAGACAACAGGGACTACTGCCTCACCACAAATGACAACACGTAGCACTATAATTGATAATACCTGACCATGCCTAGTAGAACATGACTAACTGACTTTACTAGATATTATTCCCCCATATATACCATTTAGGGTTTTGTTTTGTTTTTCTTTGGGTTTGTTTGTTTGTTTTTCCCCTGCATTTCCTGGTGCAACAGTTAAAAAAAATCCAGATTTAACATTATACAGCAAGCACAGACACAGTTAACGTCTGTAATTCTCCCACTCTCAAAGACTATCTTCTCAAAGTTCAGCTACTTTGAAAGGACTTGATTAGAGTCTGAACTCCCAAAGAATGCAAAGTTATGGAAATGTGCCTTACAAAAAGAAGTTTGTACTTTTGATTGAGAACATTTTTTAGAAGGCTGAACATAGCAAAACACTTTATATTTCTGAAGAATAAACGCTCAGTCACAAGACTGCCAAGTTTTTATATAAAATATTAAAGTAGAAAGATACATTAAAGATAAATCAGGAAACAAGTAAGCATTGCATCAAAAAGATTGCATTTTGTCTCTCCAAATTACGCAATAAAACGTTAAATTGTAGACAAGAATGTGACCTTTCTAGAATATATTTCATCAGATAATAATCTGTCCTCTGAACAAAAATATAAAGAGACTCAAAATACAAAACTCAAAGCATAAGCCTGACTACAATAACAGCCAGTTAACCAAAGATCCTTTTCATAAGTTATGGAAAAGCATAAATCTACACTTTTAAATATCCAGCTGATAACACCAATGCGTTGTGAAATGTCTGACTGATCATACCAGTGGTATTAAGCTCCCAAATTAACATTCACTTTTTCTAGGTGCTCCACAAACATAAAAGATAAGATTCTTACCCAGAGGAGTTTGTTACTTACTCTGGATTTTTTATAAGAAGTTTTTGAATGAAGTCTTTGGCAGGCTGTGAAACTGATGAAAATGTTTCTTCTGAATAATCCACGTTAACTTGCGATATATTAAGGTAAGTTTCTTGATGATCAGCTCCCACAAATGGAGATTCTTGTGTCAGCAGCATGTATGAAATTACACCTATGTTCCTGAGATAAGAACACGATGTATAATCCTACTAGGGTATCTGAACAATATACCCCCCACTATTTACTGTGCTGCAGATCAAACCTCCTGATGCATGCTACACAAAGTATTAGAAACATCATGTGACATCTTACTTGTGATTCAAGCATGTATGCACATGCACACAAAAGGAAAGCTACATATATATCTCAATGGAGGGATTTTTGAAAATGGCTTACTTTCAATATATCCTTTTCTTCCCATTGAGACTGTTAGGAAAAGGAAACGTATCACTTTTACACAGACCATTCTTGGACATATGGCAATTCTGGATGACAGAACTGCAAAACGATAGACTTTCTAATTTGCATGTAAATAAAACCCCATCTTTCACTACGACGCTTGATGAAGTATCAAAGACTGATACTTGGTCAACTTTTCTGCACAACTGACATTTGTGTTAAAACATCCTCTTGCTAAGATGTTTTTCCCTAAGAACATGAACGTGAGTACCACACACCGTATAATTTATTATAAGTCTTGGATGGTTTGGTTTTGTGATCTGATAGAGCAAACCTTAGTACTCATTACAGCGTAGAAACACACAGCTGCTATGTTTCTCATTCTGAGTAGAGTGACAATAGTTTGGTTTTGTGTCTTTCCACAAAAGCAGGCAAAAAACCAAAAGGAGATAAAAACCATTCACAGATTTAATTACTGATACTAGTTGATAATTTCAAAGGAGTAATTGGATCATAGCAACTTTTAAAACTGAATTTTATGTATTTCTATTCTTAAGAGCAGCATATGAATGCTTTGTTTTTAAGGAAACATCCCAAAGCTAGCCTTTACACTAACATAGCTCAGGAAATTAACAGGCTAGAAACGTATACTTAATAAAGTTGTGGATTAGTTTAAGGTACTTGTCTCATTTTATACGACTCATTCTACTTATCTTTAGAGCAGTATCTGCAGAGAGTTAAACTTATCATTTGTATAATAAAATTATTTAATGATACAAAAGTGGGGAGGGAGGAGTGTCCAAGAGTAAATACCTGAAGCATGCCATCCAGGAGTAGCTAATACCTAAAGTATGCTATCCAATCATTGTTATTGTTCCCTTAGAACAAATACCTATACTCTGCATGCTCAGAAGCCACCTGCATTCCCTACTAGGTGTGCAACAGACCCATACGCAGCAATTCCTGTAAGCCCCAAGTTATATCCTGAGGGCTCCTTCCCCTCCCAAATCTCTCTCTTTTGGTCAGCACACCAACAGAAGGGTATTCTTGGAAGCCAGATAAAACTGCATCAGAGTCTGAATCTGGCCTCTAGATTGTTAAGTGGTCACACCTACCTCAGTAAAATGAATTAACAGATACAACCTACCACATATCTGTAGCTGTGGTAATAGGATCATAGTTTAAGATTTCTGGAGCTAGAGAAAGAGATGGGGAGAAGAAAAACACTTTAGTAGATATATTATTCAAGGGGCCTTGAATCAAACCCTAAATTTCTGGCAGTTTTTTGCCATCTTTACTATGAGACTAAACATGCAGTTTCAATAATCAAGTTTAATATTTTCAAGCCACAAGGGTGGAAAAAAAAGTTATTTCTGTTTGATTAGACACAGCAATGCTTAGCTGGTTCACACCAAAACAGCACTAAGGCCTAAAGCCTGTTCTGTCCAAGTCCCAAGATATTTTCTAATCAGATGCATGCACATAAAAGTTTCTTCTAAAAGGATTTCAAGTATAAAGCTTTTTAAGGGGAATGCGTAAAGTATTCGGCATGTTAACACTGCAAAGCCAGATGACCAAGCCAATGTTAGGATCAGTGGCTGTTAGCATATGCTAGACATGTTAGCATATGATTCTATAGCACTTATTTACTACAGATTGAATTGCTCTTAAAATTGAGTGTAGACAGATCATTAAGGAAACTTGCCCCTCATAGAGGGTGAAGTGTTAATGGCAATCTTTCCCTTTCTGAGGAATATTTTAATCTCATTAAATCATCATTCATTGAATTAGGAACAGCATTCCCAATTCCAAGAACGTTTCTTTGTGCATGCTAATATTGTACTTCAACCCTAATCAAAAGAATTTAACAGCCAAAATTACTTGTTGATTTAATAGTTTGCATCAGAGCAAATGCTACAGCATAAAATTAGAGGTGCACTTATTGATATAATTTGGGAATTTTTTTTGGTGCAAATATTTACTGACTACTCAAAAAAAAGAGCAGCTCAAAACATGTTATCTTGCCCTGTCATTCTTTCTCCAGTAATGACTAAGTTGATAAGCACATTACACAAACTGTTTCTGTTTTCTCAAAACCACACGTCAAAAATTGTGAAGCAACTCTTCCATACCCAGATACTCTGTTGTTCCCATGATCTGCCGCAGTTCACCAGAATTATCAAGCTTCCGAGACATACCAAAATCTACAATTTTTACATCACCAAGAGGATTGAGACTGCTCAGCAAAATATTTTGAGGCTAGAACAGAAAAGATTTCATTCTCTATTAATAAAATACAAGCTGTAAAAAGCCTCAATGTAGTAAACGACATTTCAGTTTCTATTATGCAATATTTATTGCTAAATTTTATTTTTTAAAATTATTTAATCTAATACAATGCTTCTTCTCATATTTGTTATGTATTTAACAAATGGCTTTGATTATCACAATATTAAATTGAAGATAAAGTACTAAAATAAAAAGGCTGCTGCAATCTCACCTTTAAATCAAGATGAACAATATTGTTTTCATGCAAGCAGCAAAGTCCTTCAAGTATTTGTCTTACAAGTCTTACAATATCCCTTTCACCAATTCTGTCATCCAGATCTGGGACACACAAGTCAAATATTTCTCCTCCAGCAGCACTGAAACACATTCAAGAACATTTAAGTTTGAATTGTCAAGCTTAAGTTAGGAAAGGTTTTATATATAGTACCTTCTTATATATTAATTTATCATATTCATATTCTCAGAGAGGCTGGGAATATTGTTATTATTACTATTTTTGTCCTTTTTACACACACTTATGCCAAGACACACCATATAAGCACTAAGAGGAAAAAAAAAAGATTATGCTTTTTCTTTCCTCATAGCCACAGCAGTTGAGACAGCAAAACACAACTTTGTGGCTGAAAAACTCGTAATGCTTTGGTACCCTCAAGCATGTTTTCCTGTAAGTGAGTGTGAGGATGCCTTTAGGAAGATGTCTATCATCATTCCCTAACAGAAGCAGTCTTTGTCTTCAAGTCAAATCTAAAATTTCTTCCATTAGACCAGTTCCATAAATAATTCAAAGCAAGGAAGCCCAGCAGTATTCCTATTCTCTGAATTTGGGAGTAAAAATTGTAGTTTTTTTACATGATGTGGCTGTGGTGTAAACATAAGAACTACAATGCAATGAACATCTAGAGTGGCTGAAGACTCTTTCTGAAATGGGAGGAAATGGCACACTTGCCACCCTAGGTCCTGCCATTCTGATGGAAGACTAAAAATCAGATATTTCTGTCAGAGAGATACTAGGAAGAAAAAGCATGCTGACGCTGATTAAATAGACAGTTGCCTAGTCAGTTAGTGAGCAGTATCTTCCAGAACTCTAGTAGACACAGAATACTCAGAAATACAAGGACTCAGCTATGTCATCTATGTCAGCTTTGACATCTACTATTTCCATACTAACAACAAAGATGAGATTGACAAGCTTTATGTCTTCACACAGCATCTCAGGTATGTCTTCCTCAGAAAAATGCTGTTGCTTTACTTACACAAAACCCTGTTATTAGCACAGCATAAAGCAACCATGGAAATAACCATGTTGCACGTGGTTCATTAGTTATACTTCTACATTTTGCCACAGTGTCAGCTGTTCCCTTTCATGCTGGGTTTGAAATCATTATTCAGCCTGCTCTAACTGCCTGAAGTTTTCTCTCTCTTGAGGATAAAGGGCTACCTCAAAACTACAGATCAGTAAGCCTGAATTTCATCATTAGCAAAATGATAGAGTCTATAAAAAAAGTCTGATAATGGACAACATAGATAAACAGAGTCACTAACCTGCTGGAGCTATGCAAGATATCAGTAATGCCTCCCCTAGTTGCCTTTATGACAAAACATAGACGAGGGGAAGAGCAGTGGATGACATTTACTTCAACTTTAGCAGGGTTTTCAACGCTGTCTCCCATAGTATTCTTGTACCCAAGTTACTACATTATGGTCTGGATGGGTGGACAACCAGGTGAGTGAAGAGCTGAACAGCTCTCCTGAAAAGGATTTGGGAGTCCTCACAGAGAGTGAGCATCCATTTCTCTCCTCTATTTAGAAAATGTGCGCTTACACAAACTGATTCTTATCACTACTACTACATCTTCCAAAGAACCCCACCAGTACAATCAAACATCAGTGAGGACCACATGTAAGAGGAAAAATATGGTTCATACATTGAGGACCACATGTAAGAGGAAAAATATGGTTAAATGGGAAATACTTATAAACTATTTTATGACACACACTAATTTTTTGCAATTCTTTTAAAGTACTGCTCCAGAGTTCTGGTAAATAGAAACAAGCAAAAAAAACCCAAAAAACCAGTGTATTTTGCTACACGAAGACATAACTTAGAAGCAGAATCAGCCCTCTGCTTATCACAATAGAACTAGGAACACTTACTGCAAGACTTCTGAACACTACTACAAAGTAGACCATTAACACCAATGTAGTACAAGGAAGCTGTTTCACTACAGAGCTTTAATAAGCAAGACTGAGTTAGCTGAGCTGAAACAGAAGCAGAAAAATTAGTATGGCTTATGAGAACTTGTGCTTGATAAGAAGTTCAAAACTTGTCATCTGGACTTTGTCTTTACTACTTGACTAAAATTATTATTTTAGTCTTCTCAGAAAAACAAATCATATGTTAGGGATCATCCAGTTCCAGAAAAAAAATCCAACAGGTTTTATGATTATCTAGGTAGATTTTCTGGAAAATGTGAATCAAATTAACATAGCGTGTGCAGACCATTAACAGCTCTTCAAATACTTTGCACATGAAACTTAAATCCTACCTAGAGAGAGACTTTCTGAACTAATTTCACAAACTGCAGTTTTGTTCCTCACATTCTAAACAAACATTTACACATACAGCAAATATGACAGATAATTCAAATTATATTCCCAAATTAGACTTGTTTTCAGAGCTTATGAGAAGCCACAAGGGCATCTAAAAAGATATGGGAATTTTTGAGGAAACTGCTCCAAAAGCCAAAGAGTTTTAAAACAAAACCACTAAATCTAGAAGCTCAAGAACCCACAAATGAGTTGCAAGTTTTCAGTCACCAAAAAGTGTCAAACAGTAACTGAAGTTCATAGAAAACGTATGTGCTCAGCTTCTCTGAAATCTGTGTATTTGGTATCAGTGGCTACTTTTTTTTTTTTAAATTATTTAAAATGCATCAAAGCATTTGATGCACTTTCTGTGGGATCCAAGGACATTCTCTCCTCCAGTCAGATAGCACGAAAGATTCTTTAAGGGGAAAAAAAATTACACCGTAGAGTCTGTATTCAAGTTTTACATTAAGTTAGCCTGACCTGAAAATTGATCAGAGCTTTTTTTTTTTTTTTTTTAAAAAACAAAAATCCAACTAGCAGAAGAAATAATCTGCTCAAATACAGCAGGCAAGTTTTAATCAAAGTTATCCTCCTGAGATAGTATTTAAATGTACAAAAAATATTTCAATTTGAAATTGAGTGAAATTGCCTGGGAAACTAAGCTATGCAGTAAGAAAGAAGAATTGCCCTCATTTTTTTGATAGTTTTTTGGAGGGAGAAGAAAAAAAAAATCTTTCAGTCCATTTTTTAAAATTTCGTGTACAGAACTACTATAGGTTTCAGTGTATTTCATTTTATGGCTTATTGCATATTGTTTGACACAACTCATCAGCTGTGGATGTAACAAAACACATCTACAAAACCAAAGCTTCAAATTAACAGCAATTGATTCAACTCTTGCATTTACAGGAAAACAAAATATACCAAGAAGTCCCTAAGAGGTTACAAGTATATCATAATGAAAGGTTATAAAGTATATCATAATGAAATATTAGCAAAATGTATATAGCATACTGTTGTAATAATTCTGGGTTCAGCAAGTCATGCCAAAAAATTAGTATATTGACAGATTGGTAACTACAAATGTGGAACATCCGAGGAAGGCATACTTACTATTCCAACACTAAGATGATTTCATTTGCTGTTTCATAGACTTCATGGAGATTAACTATGCGAGGATTAGATTTCATTAACTCAAGCACAGCAATTTCATGAAGAATCTCTGCTTTGCAGTCTTGACCTCTTCTTCTTTTCTTTAAAAATTTAGCTGCATACTCTTGGCCTGTGGATTTAGCTATACATTTTCTAACTACAGCACATCTTCCTCTACAAAATAAAAGGGACAACATTAATATCTAAGACATAAAATATATTAATTGCCATTAGAAATAAAAAGGCATCACATGTAATTGGCAACTAAAAAAAAAAATTATCAGGGCAATGCCACGTTTAGCCTGTTCCTACACTATTCCCTGAACATTCACTTTCAGCCACTGTAAAAGAAAGGATACTAAGCTAGATGAAACTTTAGCAAGACCCAGTACAATTCACTTTATACAGACTAGCTAAGCATTAAATCAGAGTATCAGGTTACATGGACAGACGTTCACACTGTAGGATCACAGAATTCCAGAATAACTCAGGTTGGAAGGGACTTCTGGAGGTCTCTAGCAAAACCTCCTGCTTAAAGCAGGGCCAGCTACAAGATCCTACCAGGCTGCTCAGGGCTTTGTTCAGGTTGGCAATATTATATTAAAAAACCACAACTGCAGTATAGCACCTACAGGATACAGTAGTAAACAAAGCAAAACCCTCTGACATGTAGAGAATGACCACAGAAAATAAAGCATATATGTATGCAGGGCGGGGGGAGAGGTCTTCAGGGCAGAAAGTTCTAGAGTCATAAAGAGCTTCCCTCCACAAATCATGTAGCATTGATAAACCCCCCCCCAACAACCAAAACCCAGGTATCTGCAAAATGTTTAAAAACATCTTAACAGAAAGACAGCCACTACTTAGCATTCTCTTTCTCAATTACAGTTAGACAAAGTGTTCTGCTTTATTTCCTAGCCAACTGTTTAGGTATGGAAACAAAAATGTATTTTGGCAAAGAAACGTTTTTAGAAGAAAACCACATACTGTAGTTAAAACATCAAGTTGACCTTTTAAAAAATTAGGGGGAAAAAAAAAATGCAGTTTTAAAAGCCAAGTTATAAACTCTTGAAAAAACAAAGTTTTATAATCACAAGTTTTGCATTCCCAGAAATGCCTGGTTGCATACTTGCAAAGTGTTTTCAAATGATACAAGAATCATTATTTAAAAAAACAGTAACTTGAAGGGCTAAAATAAATTCTGTAAAGGTCTAAAACCAGTTAAAAAACTGGGTGCACCTAAGTCTTCAAAAAAAAGCCTTTCCATGTATGTTTTTTGTTATCATAGCATACTACGAAAAAACTTGAAGCAGCTCAGTACAAGCTATCTGAACTGCACTTTTTCAACTAAATTAGCTTCTTTAGTAGAAAACACTATGTTGCCCTGCAGGCTTTGCCTTTCTTCTGGTGCAAAAACCCCAATGCCTAAAAGAGCTTTTTTCAAAAAAATCTAGACTTCAGTATTTAACCAAAAAAGGTATGATCATCTCATGAAAAATGAGATTTCCGTTTGCAAATAACCATGTTAAACACAGTTTGTACAAATCTAAATTATTAAAATCATACTTTAATCATACTGCTAGCACTTATTTAGAAATAATTCAACGAAACAGCTTCTCTGTCATCATTTATTTCAACATCAATTAGTTGTAGGATTTCTTTGTCCTTTTTTTAAGCACTGATTTTAGAAAGGGAAAGTACAAAACAAAAAAAAAATTAATTTAAGAGGTGAAAGTTATTTACAGTCTGATACATGCACACTCTTCACCTTAGCAATTATTTGTAAGCCTGAAATGGCCAAGTCCTTTCCCAATTGTTAAACTAGCTTATTATTGCAGAGCATTTGAAGCTACTGAGCTGAATTTCATAATATACCAAAGTTTAAGATACTCCCTCACAGCTTACATTCTCATTTTAACATCACATCACCCTGTCAACCACAGAAGTTTCTTTAAAATTAAAAAGGGGAACTGGTTGAGTTTCATGAGAATAGCAAGACCTTCCCTGATAGTTTTTGCACATCTTCCTTCTAGTTGCTGCAGGCATAACACCTTTGAGCAGTTAACAGCAGTATCTCCACAGAGACGATGTAAGAATTTCCACTTGTTTATTCTGTATTTGTAGTGTGCCAATTAATAAGACAAAATTATTAAGATACAAAATTGTTTTACGGCTGTGGAATTCCAGAGAAATGCAAAAAAAAGTCAAATCTGAAGTGTTGCACTGAAGCAAGAAAAGTGCTTCCCACTCCTTGTTGCCTGCAAAGCACACTTTACAAGCCCAGTTTTACAAGATAAAAACTGATTTCAAGTTATTTTCATATCCCAAGTCATAAACCAGAGAAATTCAACTACTTCAAAAGAAGCCAAGCCATCCACACACTGGGGACAAAACTACTTAACCCACTAAACAGAACTTGCCTGCTTGGTGAGTCAGTGTCTTAAATACCAAAAGACCTAAAAGATAAAGGGGTGAGAGGAAGAAATGGGACTTGGGAAGATTAAGCAGAGAAGAACAAAAGAACCATTTACTAAGTAACCAGAAGAGGAAGAAGAAAATTGCAAGTGAAAAGAACAGCATATTAAATGTTTTGAAGAAGCTACAAAGAAAGGTGAATTTCGCATCACTTAGTAAGTGTTGTAAATGCTTAAAACGTTAAAAAAAAAAAATGCATGCATACACTGTTATGCCAGGAAAAGTCAAAATTGTGTTTGGAAAACATACTACTATGCTTCTGATTCTTTGCATTTTGGCACTTATTTTGTTATGCCTGGTTTTGCATGTACAGAAAGTATTTAAGACTGTGTTTTGGAATCCATGCAAAAATCTATACTTTTGTTTGCTTTAGACACGATCTCACAGGCATGTATAATCTGAAAATCCAACATTTTAAGAACACTGGCATTCTAGAGGATGGTGCATCTAAACTGCTTCTGTAGAGCCTAGAATTCAAAACTAGAGCTGACACAGGGGTAAGAAAAGAAGAAAGTTATGGCCTGCAAGGTGGACTTTTTATAAAAGCATACCAGATAAAGCACCTGCTAGGAAAAGAAAAAAAAAACAAAAACAAAAAACCAAGAGAACAGTGAAGGCTACAGAGCTTACAAAATCACAGGTAGAACAGCACCTTTGCTGACAAAACAAGTTACAGGTGCAAAGGATCTCTATGTAGTACAACAAGGCACAACAACTGTAAAACTGATCCATGCCACTTCTGTTCAAGAAGCTTCGAAACATGTCCATGGCATTAGGTTTGCGCGGCTTTATACCCAATTACCTAAATATTTTCAAGGTATTAATTAACCCAAGGATTTCAAAAAAGCATTAATTCAGATGTCTGAAACAGTATCACAAATACTAAGGTTGTCAGTTTTTTTCCTTTTTGTTGTATTTCCTATTTCACTGTTGGAAATGAGCAAGGGAAGCAGGCTGCAAAACTACTCTGAAACAGCAGGTTGTTAGAAACTCAGACTAACTGCTTGAGGGTGGGAGGGGGAAAGAAAAAGGTCTTTGTTTTCTGTACTTAAAAAAACTCAACCAACCAACCAGAAAAGCCAACTCAAAATCCCCATTCTTTGTCTTGCAGTACTACCCTGTGTCATCTCTTCTTTAGTTTATGTACCTGGATGTGATTTGTGACTAGACAGGGGAAATGGAAGAAAAGGAATATAATCCCAGATCTACCTGCCTATGAAAACAGGCTACATCTCTCTGCCATGGAAAAGGCTGGCAACTTATGTCTCACTGTACCTTTTCGTGGTCCCTAGAGAATCCGTTGGATACTGCAAAGGGAGTGGGGAAGGAGAGAGGTGTATTTCATTCCCCATCTACTCCCATAAAGGTTTGCCAGAAAAGGTCTATCACTGCACAAAGAATTCTCTTGCAGCAGAAATTCCTCTGACTAAAATAAAATAAATAGGAATAATCTTACCTTCCTAGCTCCTTCGATTCAAGCATGTAAAAATTGTGGAAACTGTCTGTCTTGATTTGTGTCTGCAGAGATGTGGCTAACAAGCCAGAAAGGCTTTTATTCTCCAACTTCCTCCTTGACATAGTCAGGAACAGGTCTCTTTCTTCTACCAGTCACCTGTTAAAGCAAAATAATTAAGATTTTTGGAAATCCCATAATTACAATGCAGGAAAGCATATAAATAAAAAAAGAGTTTAGATGTATCAGGCTAGAATAGCCTTAAGTTTGTTTTCAGGTCACTACTGAACACCACATTTAATCACTGTAAAAATAGGACCCGAGAGGAATACTACTCAAGGTATGCTAAGAAAATAATTAAAAAAAAAAAGTATTTCAATTAAGTAATTTTAACATTGGAGATACAGGTTTTTTCCTCCCCTAGAGTATATCCATATAAGCTTCAGTTCTAGTAAAAATGCTAATGACTACTTAACTATTAACGATGCGGGGGGGGGGGGGTGTGTTGGTTTTTTTTTTGTTTGTTTGTTCTTTTTTTTTTTTTTTAGCTTTCTGAATATAAGCTTTAACTCTTCTTTGGATTCTGGGCAAGTTCCAGCATTTCCCTTAAGTTTACACTCTTAACTGATATCTCTGGGGGACTTAACCAAAACTCCTTCCTGTTTATAGTCTGCAACACAGCAGGCACAGCAAACACCGGGGGGGGGCGGGAGGGAGT